TGTATTTGATCCACTACCATTAGGTCTAAAGACCCGGACAACAGGATATAGGTAACGAACTTGGCTTCTTCTTTTTATATTAATACCCAATACAAGACTGGTTATGTTAGTAGATGAGCAATTGAACTGATACTCTTGAAGGACTCTTTGTGTATTGTCACTGGCATAGGTTTCAGGTGGATCTATTCCTATTTTTTCTGCTGTGTAGTTTAGTAATGAAAGCTCCATAAACCTCTTTGTGCATTCATCTGAACTATAGCTAACTGAATAAAAGATTGATTAATATAGTAATGGCAGAAGTATTAACAACAGCTTACTTTTTAGCAGAAAGAAAAGAAGCAATGATCCATACCACATCATAAGCATCATTTTAGACCTTTTGAAACTATGGACACTCTTCCATGAGGCAAAGCTTTTATAATAGTAAATTTAGTAGTTAGAGAATTTTATGGAATGCTTGTGATGATTTGTCATTTTATAGTTGGGTGAGCATAAGTAAAGTCCATAGATGTTATGAAATTCAAAATAATCATTCCATATCACTTGTGGTTTTCGACTGTTTACAGTAGAGATATATTATTGGAGTGAGCCTGAGTGAGCCCCCACATAAAGGACACGAGTTTTGCTCACAGCACTGATGCAAGGAGTACAAAAAATTTTACATTTACTAACTACACTGTAAACTTTAATAATTGCTAATTCAACTTTTCTTGCAAAACAATAATATTTTGACTTTGTAAAATAATATTTTGACAGCCTCATAAATGAGCTCATAAACTTCTCCGTGGCAGCAATTTTAAGTCACGTGGTCAATCCTCCCATGTATATAATTAATTATTATTGGCATTGATAGTGTGAAGTAGTATATTCCTGTATAACAAAAAAGTATACTAATGTAGACAATGCACCGTGATGTACTGTATAGTTTATTATTTTGAGGATAACAAATTTTGCAGATTTTGAAGATTTGCTAAATTAAATTCCTCAAAATAATAAACCCACTATACAGTACATCAAGGCACATTGTCTACATCAGTATACCTTTTTGTTATACAGGAATATATTACTTCACACTATCAATGCCAATAATAATAATAACAATATCAATATCATAGGGTCATTTGCGAAATTAATAACAATATCAATGCCAATAACAATAATAATGTACATGTACATGTACATGTACTGAAAGAGTATACTGATGTAGACAATGTGCTGTGATGTACTGTATAGTGTGTTTATTATTTTGAGGATAACAAATTTTGCGGATTTTTGAAGATTTGCTAAATTAAATTCCTCGAAAATCAATTTAATACTGTAGAAGATGACAGGAAAGTGGCAATTCGCAAAAATTTAATTCCGCGAATATCCGGATACAGGCCATTTGCGAAAATTATTATTCTTGAAATAAACCCACTATACGGTAGCTGGTTACTATGCATTTAAGTGAGTTGGATACTCTCCCTAATATAGCAAGTTGAACGATCAATCTTAGTCCAAGTATCATAGAACAAAAATTCACACAAAATCACTCAGTGAATCATTAATTAATCATACATTATATTGATTTCATTAACACACATGTAATACATATCACAAATTAATGATAACAATGCACACTAACATTATTGTACACGTAAATGTATCACCATTGTCACAATGGCATTAGGCAAAACAAAATTAAGCAAAAAAGATACACACGTTCATAATTATTGTTCAAAGAGCATGAAGACAATTTCTCCAGCTCCCCAGAGCCCAAATCCAACCATTGCACCAACACCTGCTCCTACTGGTCCGCCTAGTGCAGCACCATATATAGCACCAGATGCAACATTTCCAGATGCTCCTACAACTTTCCCTGTCTTCTTATATCCATAGCGCTCCAATCCTGCTTGGGCAACATCTGCTGCTAGTCTAATCCCAGTGCATGCAGCTCCTTTTCCGAGTGATTTCAGTCCTTGCTTGACTCCTTGTGTTGCAATTTTTTTGTTCCTACTTTGAGAACCATTTGTGAAGTTTCCTTTAAGACAATACTTGAAGTACCACAAATTACAGCTTGCTTAGTGCTTTCTCTAGCTACATAACATTGTATAACCTTTGTTTTACCTTTAGCTGCTCCCAAAGCAGTAGTCTTAACGACACTTTTACCTATCACTTTTGCTTCCTCTCTTGCAATCCCTTTTGTAACACATTTTGCTACCTTCCTGTCATTACTTGTCTTTCTGGCACCACCATTATTGGTATCACCTTTATAGTCATTTTTGTCATCAGCATTTTTATTGTCGACACCTTTTTTATCTGCTCTGTCATCAGACATCAATTTTTTAAGAAATTCCACAATTGGCTTTTTCACTTTTTCCATGAGCTCCTTTACTTTTTTGATCCCATATTTCTTTATTTCTTCTATTAATTCACTGTGATTTTCTTTGAAATACTTCTTTATTTCTTTGTAGACTCCTGGACTTAAATGAGATATCTGTTTATCCATGTAGTCCAGAGCAACATTAATCAATACTATTTTTAAAAAACATGATCATACAGCTAGACTATTTGCTAGACTACATGTACAGTGTAGGTTACCTTCTATTACATCTGACATCACTGGATAGATATAGAGATTAAATAGATTAACTGTCCGTTCACTTGATTGACACAGTTTTTAAGTTTTACCCAGCTATCTACATATACATGTATATAAACCTATATTGTTATATATATTGCATTTATATATACCTATATTGACAGCTTACAACATGGGAAATTCCCTGGGAAATTTCCTGGGAAAAGATGACATACCTATATTGACAGCTTACAACATGGGAACATTTTGCTACATAAATTTACAAAAAAAACAATAGAGCAGCCTGAGTAGGATTGACCATCTGTGGATTAACAGTTTGGATTGACATCATGTTTATTCATTGAAAGAGCATTTTGCATGTTACATTTTTTTCCCTTTCCCTCCCTCCCTCTCTCCTTCTACAGGTCAGTGAAGGTTATTCTTCATTCTATTGAGAAGGTTGATGTTACACTGGTTGTCTCTTACGTTGTGAAGAATGCTTCATGGTCACCAATTTATGATATCAGAGTGTTCACTAAAGATAAGACTCTTAAGGTAGACATGCACTATAATCTACATGTACATTAGGTGTACTTAGAAACCTATAGCACATTTTATTTTAGTAGAATTTCATTGTCTCTATTGTACAACTTGTACATGTACATCTCCCAAATATATAAATTATTTAATTCATTATGCAGTGTTGTAGTACCCTAGAGTACGTGCAAAGCGTTAAATTACATTCAAATAATGTTCAGACATTGTGCCTGAACATTGCTTAATTTGATCTGCCATTTTATGAAACAGTTGGACATAGTTTCGTACAGGATTTTGGTATTGTGCTCATGCAGCTTCTTGTCAGTGGATGGTTGAGTTACTCAAAATTGAGCCTAAACTCTAAGATGTCGTACTATAGCACAGGATATTTCGACAAAAATCACAAAAAGAGAATTTCTATTTTTATAATTTTTTGATGCACATATATGCTCTTATGTTGTGTAGAAAATTATAGCTAATTTTGATTGAGTTTGGATTTTTCATAAATTTTTTAAGTTTCTCAACAAGGTTGTGACCAAATTTTATCAAAAAAAGAATTCTCCATTTTTATAATTTATTCTGATTAATCTGATACATGTACATGTTCTTATTGTGTGTCTCAAGTTTGAGCTGACTCTGATCAAATTTGGATTTTTTATTAATTTTTGAAGCTGCTTAAAAGCTATGTACATGTGCATCTACTATTGTAGTGCTTGTCAGATCATGAAGTTCATGCTTTGTGTTTAGCTCACTTAACATGCTTTGTTGGAAACCCTGCAATTGGGCATGAATAATTGGTTATGTTAAAATGCTTAACTAAATGTATATCATTATTTTAAAATTATATTGTTCAGAAAAATGGTAGAACAACGCTGAATTTGGTCAGCAAATGGTTGGAAAATGTCTGATGTCTGACTGTTATTTCTGCATGTAGACTAAAAGGACCCTTACTTTTAAAAGTGTCTTGATATTTTTGAGTAATATACTACAAGTGTGTAATATGTACTGTAGACCTTTTAAATTTTAATTTCTCTCTCATTCCTCTAGACTCATTACTATGGTTTAATAAAGCAGTCCACAGGAGAGGACTGGGATAATGCCAGTATATCCCTCTCAACTGCCCAGCCTGATGTTGGAGGATCACCTCCTTCACTGGGAGTCCATCACATTGGATTTGAGAGAGCACGTTATGTCACAAGGAGCTATAAAAAGAAAGCAGGTTTCAACTTCATTAGCAGTTATGGAGGAGACTCAGCGTCTGATGATGATGAATGGTTTGAGGATGATAGTGACAAAATGATGAATGCTGGGTTTACTGGACTGGAACTTTGTGCTGTGCCTGATATACCTCTTGATGGAGGCTCACCAGTAGCAAAGAGAAAAGCAGCTAAAGCACCTTCTCTTGAGGTTGATGTCTCTAAAGTAAATAACGACACACGCACGCTCATGATTATAAATGTGTAATATAAAGTTGCTCAATATTTATTTATTATTTTAATTATCTTTTTTTAAACAATTGAGTATTAGTCTTTTCTTGTTACTGGTAGGTTGAAACAGGTCAGTTGTACAATGCTTTGTTTTCAATTCCACGTACATCAACCATACCTTCTGATAATACTGAACACAAGGTAATGTACATGTACATCTACTGCTTACAAAACATTTTGAACAATTATGTGTGTCAATTGTTATGAACCATTGTGATGCATGACACACTGAAACCATGACTAGACATTTGAAATTCACTGAGTTAAAAATTGCCAGTTACCATATAGCGGGTATATTTCATCTGGAAAAATGTTCGTTCTGAGCAAGATTAGAAATTTTTGTTTGTTTTATTTTCATTCTGAGCAGCCATTTTGTACACGTGGCATTGAGGAAACATCTTTTTTATTTGGAAAATATTTGTTCCACAAGGAATGAGAATAAAATGAATGAAATTAAACTCTGACGGAATATACCCACTATACAGCACTATAAACTTGTCTACGTTTCACACTCTAAAGTTACATGTATATGTACTTGCTATTTTTACTGCATATTAATAATGTTTTATTCTCTCTCCTAAGGTTACTGTTGGTATTCTTGATATGGCTCCTGATTTCAGTTATGTTGCTGTCCCAAGGCTCTCTCCTTCTTCATTCCTTCAAGCAGCAGTGAAGAACACTTCACCCTATGCTATACTGGCAGGACCGGCCAATGTATTCCTGGATAACAACTTCCTTACTAAAGTAAATAAATTAAATTCAGAATATCTCTAAGCCCTTTTTTTATGTACACGTACATGTACATGTACGTGTATCCTTAAATCCCCTACTATAGATGTATAAACAGTAATATACATGTACATGTATGCATGTATAATTTTTATTCTTAAATTCATTTGATAATGGACTCTCTTTTGTATGTTATTATGTTATTTTAATTTTTGTTTCATTGCAGTCAAACTTGCCAAGCACTTCACCAAATGAAGAGTTCACTATTAGTCTTGGGGTTGACGAAAGCGTTCGAATAACATGTCAACCAATGAACATTGTCCGAGGAACAACAGGTATACATGTACTATATAAACTATGGTTTCTCGGTGAGTATCAGTAATGTAAGACCTGAGCCCTGAGATGTCCTCCCGTGGCGAAGCCGGGGGCAGGCATCGAGGGGCGAAGGTCAACCATTACTGATACTCACCAAGAAACCATGGTTTATATAATATGTGCTATATTTACTGTAAGATTTATGGGATCTACCAGGGATGGATGTACTCAAAGATATATTGATCAAAGATATATAAAGCCAATTTTTTTGTCAAAATGACTAGGAGCTTGACAAATACATGTGTATAAATTAAGTTGTGTAAATATTTTAGCTGATTTTGATCAGAATTAGATTTTATCAATTTTAAAGCCAAGCATGCATGCTTTTAGCTCACTTACATGTAACATGCTTTGTGGGAAACCCTGGAATAGTATTATTGACACAGCAAACTGTTTACATTGTACATGTACATGCATATGCTAATGTATTATTTATTACATTAGGTCGTATAACAAAGAATAATCATTTGTCATACACGTTTGTGTATACCGTGAAGAACACTCAAGCTAACGTTGTCAAAGTGAAGGTCATGGAGCAAGTGCCTTTGAGCTCTGATGAAAAATTAAAAGTTTGTCAATATTACTTTTACTACATGTACATGTACATGTAGTAAAAGTACATGTACATGTACATGAAAGGGTATTATTATCTTCCTTCCCTTCCCCTCTCTCTCTCTCTCTCTTCCTCTCTCTCCCTCCCTCCCTTCCTCCCCCTTTCTCTCTCTCTCTTCCTCTTTCACTCTCCCTCCCTCCCTCCCTCCCTCTCTCTCTCTCTCTCTTCCTCTCTTTCTCTCTTACCTCCCCTCCCCCCTCTCTCTTTCCTTCCTTTTCTCTTTCTCATTTCTCTCACTCTTGGTCCCACTAACTCTAGGTATTGGTTCAGCAACCTGATTTAAAGAAGCAGAAAGTTAAAGTCCCATTCTCTCATGGCTACTCTCTCTTGAATGAAGACAACAACATAGAGTGGCACTGTACACTGCCTCCTGACACATCTACTGACCTTCAGTTAGTGTACACTTTAGATTTCCCTCCTAATGATTTAGTTACCGGATTACCAAACTCCTAAATTAATATAATATGGAAAGTAACACAATTAGTTCAGTACGTGTATGCTGTAGAATTGATTTTATTTTTAGTTGAAATGTGGTTTTAAAATTTTTAACGATTTTAAATTTTTATTCTTTTTAGTGTGACAAAGGTTAATCTATCTTATACAATGTGTATACTTTTCACAGGGGCCATATTATGCACTATACATGTAGTTTCTGAAATCATGCAGCACATACTGTTATTACCGTGGTATACCATACAGGATGACTTATTGGTCAGAGTAATTGATAAGGTTTATATTGGCACTTATCCTTGGGTTTGCTCAGATTGAAGCAAAATGGTAAATCGCAATCATTTGGTGTCGTGGTGAGTATCAATATTGTGAACCCCAAGTTCCTTGTTAGCTGCCCTTGGCTTTATCTAGAGCAAAGATTGGTAATACATTACGTGTATAATATTATAGTATACTGAACAGGTATAATTATTACAGTTTACACTAGTACAACAGTGTTGACCACATTATCATGCAACCCACAATAGCTTGAACAAATAGCAGTGTATAAAAGAGTTGCACTGATTGTCACTCTTGTGTGGACCCCACTGTAGTGATGGATGATAATCTATTTATAATTTTTGGAAGGGTTCATTATAAATGAACCCTGTAGTGTAACAGCTAAACAGTAATGATAAATGTATACAAAAATACCTGACCATGTTAAAGAAATGATGCCATCATTATGTGTACCTCATGGATGGATACTACGTTTTGTCATTATGTAACATTGCCTGTAACTATAATTATTAAAGTATGTCAGAGCAGTTTATCAACACTTTTGAATACTTACATAATCTTGTTTATCCAACAGTCTGTTAATTAAGAAACCTCCTACAAGCTGTAATGTAAACACACACACATACTAGTGCTTGGTAAGTGAATAGTGCTTGAATTTGTACTGATGGGATAGGAATATCATATGTACAAAGTACTTCAAAAGTAAGCAGATGTTCAGTCTATCTGTATCAAGTATCAAATTATAAGTACACTGACTGGTTCAATGAAAAATGCATGTACATGTATTTGTAATAGAGACGTGCTTGTATTACATTTCCTTATTCATAAAAAATGTAATTTTATTATTGTACATGTATTTGAGTTAAATTTTATTAGATATTGTCAAATGACTAAATGATAAGATGGTATGTATTCAATCCTATTAATTATGCTTTCCTCTATTGAGGAATGCCTGGCTGTAAACAGGGAACTTGTGCTGTTTCATTGCATAACATGTAACATGTTGCCCATTATTATAGATGCACTTGTATTTTGAGGGTTCAGGCTATTGAATCCCATCAATGTAAAGTGCAAACATGTCCTAGAATCCAGTATTTGATTCAATTTATGTACATTTTGTGGTTTTCTGTGTGGATTTGGCAATTTTGTGGTTCGAAGCCCAACAATCAGCTACACAAATATATTCTTATATTCTGATACTCAAATCTGTATAATATTTGGTATATTATACAACCTGTTTTAGGAAGGTAATATAGGTTAATGAGAGTCTTGTTATTTTTATTTTGTTGTTGTCAAAATAGCTACAGACTTGAAGGATATTGGTATCAAATGTACTTTTATTCATGGAAATTTATCTTTTGGAAGTCGCATTATGTTTATAATAATAATGTTAGTTATGCATTTGTGTATACAGTAGCACACTAATAATAATCAATGGAACTACCGGATATTAATGCAATATCAGTCAGTGAAACCTTATAGCAAATGCATTATAAGGCCTGTGTTGACTAACTTGATTTATTAGTATTGCTAAGATGCTCCTGCTCCTATTCCTTTTCATTCTGTCTTCAACATCAGCAGAATCTATCAACAGGCAAGAAGAAGGCTATTATATGTATGTCTTGCCATCATCTTCAAGGCAGAGCTCATGTCCTCCTCAAGCAAGAGGAAGCAATAGCACTTGTGGCACACTCTCAATGCTTGTATCAAGACTACCTCCCACTGCTTCTAATATAAGTTTTATATTTTTGGATGGGGTTCACTTGTTGCACGATTATGTTCATTTGAAGGAGATCCCCTTGGTGAGACTAAAGTCAATCAGTCCCTCAATGCAGCCTGTACTTGTGTGTACTGGTGATAGTTCAGGATTTGATGTGGTCGGTTCAAGAAGGTTAGAAATATCTGGGATTGCTGTCACTAATTGCACGAGTCCTTTTGGGCTATATGACATTGCTCACGTCTCTATTATAAATGCTGTAATGCATGATAACAAAGGTATAGCTGTGTTTATTGCAGATACAGTACAAATTGTGATTGAGAACACTAAATTTATTAGAAATGGTCTCATTTCTAATGAGAGCTGTGGACACATGGTTATTTCTTCACACCAATCTGCAATTTACTGTTCCATAAGGAATACAATTTTCACCAGAGGGATTGGCTATTACAGTGGACTTACACTTGTCGCTGAAGACTCTTACAATGTCTCTATCCTCATTCACAACACTACCTCTACTAACAACACATCAGTTGGCAGCAGAGGTTCTGCTAACATCAATATCTATGTAATAAATAGCATCATTAATGAAATACAATTCTTTCAAGTGTCTAGCACCAATGGTACATCAGTGCAGGATTTTGATAGTCAAGGAGGTGGTCTATATCTATCTCTGAATAGGCTGACTTGTACACCTGAGAGTAAGATCACTATCAATAATTCATTTTTTGCCCACAATTATGCTAGGACTGGGAGCGGTGCATTCTTGTACTTTGGTGGTACTATTAATTGTAAATTCCTCATTGAGAATTCGTCATTCATCAATAATGGCCACTACATTATGTTTAATGACAAATTGCAAGTATGTACAGAAGGAGGTGGCCTTGAAATTGATGATTATGCGAATACAACTAATAACAGTGTCATTATTGAAAATTCAAAGTTTATAAGTAATGGGGCACTAATTGGAGGTGCCTTTCAACAGGCAACTGCTGTAAACACTAAACTGACTATCATTAATTCCACATTTGAGGGTAATGTTGGATTTGTTGGGTCAGCTATTGTGGGTAATTTCCAGTCAGACCCAAGCATACACAGTAATACTGAACTCATTGACGTCCTTGTTATCGGGAATACAAGATACTCAGTTGATGTCATGAAAGTCTTTATGGGATCTAGTTTCTCTTACAATAATCACATTAGGCACTTCAATGAGATTAATGCTGCAGTTATATTATCGTCAGATCGACATCCATTCACTGTCAATGCTACTAATATTGTCATTCGTGACAATTATAATATCAGTGGCATAGCGTTACGAGGATGCAATATAAGATTTAAAGGAAAACAGAATGCTTTTATCAATAACAGCTCTCCTGAAATTGGTGGGGGTCTTGTAATTTTAACAACTAATATTTATTTTGAAGTAAATGACGGGAACTATTTGACTTTTATTAATAACACTGCCCAGTATGGAGGGGCCCTGTACATAGCTGATATAGGACTGGATGATTATGATATCTCATATATTGACTCTTCCTATCATTATGCTGATGGTTACTATCAGTGCTCCTTCAATACCGACCAGAAGTATAACCAGAAACATGATAGTTCTAATCAACTGGTGAAATTTATAAACAATACTGCTAGCATCGCTGGTAATGATGCATACGGTGGCATGTACAGGGTCTGTAATATTGTACCTAATGCTGATAAAACACTCTCACAACAGCTTAGCTGTCCCATGACTAGATACTGGTCTCTGACTAGTAATCGCTCAATTTCATCTCTACCATTTGCAGTGTGTGCATGCAATGAGAGTATTGTGGATTGTAACATTAGGCACTTAAATAAAAGCCTTTATCCAGGACAGTCATTTAACCTTTCATTGGTAACAGTTGGTTCATGTGAAGGTATAAGTCCTGGCCCCATTGTCAGTTACATTAGTGGAGGGAATTTGAGCACTTCTGTTAGTGATCAAATGACATCAACTAGTTGCAAGAATCTAACATACTTTGTTACATCAAAGAAGGACATTGCTTACATGACAGTGAGTGCTGCTAGGAGTCAATATGAATATGCTGATCTATCCGTGTACATTGATTTTAAAAGTTGTCCTGTTGGATTTGAGCAGTCAAATGATAATGGAACTTGTGTCTGTAGCAAAACAATTCGAAACAAAGTCACTTGTGACATTAACAATGAGGAGTATCCATTTACTAGAGCTGGTGCTAACTGGATTGCATATGATGAGACACACAACTGCTTTGTAGCTCAGGAGGGCTGCCCATTTGACTATTGCAGAACCGACACTGTTTCCTTCAGTGCTACAGATCCTAGTACACAGTGTGCTCTCAATCGTACTGGTAGATTATGTGGGAAATGTCAACCTGGTCTTAGTGTTGTGCTTGGTGGTTCCAATGCCTGCCAACATTGCACTAACATGTACCTATTATTGTTGCTGCCGGTATTTTTAATTTTGGGTATACTTTTTATCGGAGCACTCATATTCTTTGATCTCACTGTTGCATCAGGTAGGATCAATGGGCTCCTCCTTTACATTAATACCGTTAAAATGAACGAATCAGTTTTCTTCCCTTTAAATGGCAATCCAGTACTAAAACAATTCATTGCTTGGCTCAATTTAGATCTTGGAATTGACTTGTGTTTTTATAATGGACTAGATGCTTATTGGCAAACATGGCTCCAATTTGCATTTCCTTTCTATCTCTGGATTTTATCAATTGGAATGATCATCAGTTCTCGTCATTCAATCAGGTTATCCCGTCTCTTTGGACGCAATGCAGTACCAGTACTTGCAACCCTTTTGCTAATATCATACAGTAAGATACTATCTGCTATAAAAGATGTGTTTATGTATGAGACATTATCTTGCTATGACAATGAGTTGCAGGTTGCGACCAAGTGGTCTGTCTGGAGCCTTGATGCAACCATCAATTACTTCAGCATGAAGCGTATCCCTATCATCATTTTCTCAGCTCTATTGTTGCTGGCAGCCTTGCTCTATACTTCATTCCTCACATCCATGCAATGGCTGCAGCAATATAGCTACAAGTATTGCTGTCGTGGAAAGAGAGAT